ATTTAATCAATTGCAAGAATTCATGAAATCCCTTAATTAAAGCGACATTCGCTAACTATGACAAGGTCATCAAGACCAATCGGATTTGTTCATACTCTTAAAATAGCTAACTAACGAAGATCTGGTGTAACAATGTGGAAGAAAGCTTTATATATATATATATATATAAAGTTTTGTTGTTATATTTATATATCCGTCATACTCTCTCTCTCTCTCCTCTCTCTCTCTCTCTCTCTCTCTCTCTCTCTCTCTCTCTCTCTCTCTCTCTCTCTCTCTCTCTCTCTATTTTTATGCCGAATCATGGTTTTATTTCGTAAATGTTTTAATTTCAGAGTAATAACTAAGATTGAGATATAGTGATTCTCTATTACATATAATGCACTTAGGGTTCGTTCTCTTTAAGCTTCTTACGTAATTCGTTTTAAGGGATTTTTTTTTACCCTCTCTCTCTCTCTCTCTCTCTCTCTCTCTCCTCTCTTCTTCCTCTTGTTTTCTCTTTCTTTCTTTCTTTCTTCTCTCTCTCTCTCTCTCTGCATATTTCTCTTTCTCTTTCATAGAGGAAACTTATTAATTCGATTGTCAATGCTGCACTTTCTATTACGAGAAGAAGAATCACGATGTCTCGTTCTGCAATATCCTTCTGTCAGTCGTCAAGAACTTCTGTGTAATGCTATAAGAGCAAAGCGAACATTTCTATGTGTATACATGTGTGTGTTTTTTTTCCTTATCTGTTTTTTTTTTGTTTACCCGTGAGCAATATAGAAGAAGAGAAGGTGCTGTCACGTGTAAACCGATGACAGCGTGCAGATGTTTCTAATTCGTTTAAAGTTTTGTATATTGGGTCTTTTTGTTTTAGATGGACGTCAAACGTGCAAGAGAACGTAGATCCAAAACGACAGGAGAACAGATAACAACGGATTGTCCGCTTGATTTTCTTCTCTCTTTCTCTTCTTTTCTTAAATTCTTTTTTCTTTTGGACCAGTTCATCAAATATTTGTCATCTTTAGCAAATATGTTTTCATCATGTTCGCCAATATACAAAATTTCTCCTTTTTTTTTTATTATTATTTTTTTTTAACACGTTACGCGCCACAAGTAGCAATGACCGACACCGTGTATATATATTTTTTTCTTTTTTGCAGTGTTTCAAGGTCACCGGTGACCGGCAGTAACGCAGGAGCACTACGTATAATATTGTTTTCCGACGCAGCAGAATAAAATCGTACGAGATGTTTACGACGCTGAACGTGTTAAATATTAATTAATTAATTTATTTATTTATATATGTATATATATATATATGTGTGTAAAGGTGTTTTATATTGAAAACACATTGCGCGTATACCAATGAGAAAAAGTTATTCTACGACAGCCTGACGTAGCTCATTCTAATAAAAACACAGTGTTGGTCGAATTCTATCACTAAACAGAGACCAGCCTGTTTTCTTCTCTCTTCTTCTTTTTATTATTATTACTAGTATTTTCTTTTTGTTTTGTTTGTCTTATTTTTTTTTTTTATTTTTGTTTCTTTTTCATGGGGGAAATATAATCGAGATATCCGAGATATTATTGAAATATATTCTAACAATAGCCATTCATTATTTGTTCTTTCTATTTGTTTACGATACCATTTCATCAAAGTGAATAAATGCTGTTTGGAAAAAAAGGAAAGGCACATAATCATGACGAAGAGAGGTTAAGAGAAATAAAAAAAAAAAAAAAAAAAAAAAAAAACCATTTGGGGGACCGTGTAATCCATGTACACGATATTATTGTATACTTATCAATGGTTCCTCATCGAGATTTTTATGTATATGTAAGTAACAAAAATTTTATATATTGTCGAAATAATTGTATTCGTTCGAAAATAACAGCCGTTAAAATCAAATTGATGAATTTTTAATTTTTTATCTTCATCCTTTTTTGCTCCGTTGCAAACATAATGTTTTGAATTAAATTTGAAAATTTATCCAATTTATCAATTCATAATAATCGGATTACAATGCGAAGAGCACGTTCTGTTAATTCTAACAGCTTGGCTTATCCTAACATTGAAATTCTATGGAAAAACAAATTTTATTGTTGAACTCGTAATCGATCGAGTATTTTCGATGTTCATTTTTCTTAAAGATTGGATCATGCTAAAAGCCACTAAAATTTAGGGCCACGCACATTTTATGTATATATTGTTCGCGTGCATTTTCCCGAATCCTAAAGTTATCCTTCTCTATTAATTTCTCTCTATTAATTTGGACCACATTTGCGCGGTCTCCGCGAGGTACTCAACAATTTTTTTCTCCCTTTTTTTTTTTTTTTTTTTTTTTTTTTTTTTTTTTTTTTTTTTTTTTTTTTTTTTTTTTTTTTATCGATCTTTTCGGTCCAGCGAAATTCGTTTAGCGAGTTGATATTATAGCAAATTCACGATTGCGATGGGATTATGACTCCTGTTTATTACGTGTGTGTAGAATCGATCGAATTGATTCGCAATCGATCGATGCAACTAGATATTCGTAATCGTATTATTCGCTGGTTCACAGGTTTGAGTGAAAAATCTTAATAATCAAACGATTGCAAGATCAAATTGCATTTTGCATTATGCGATCGACTTGAAAACGATTATATACGAATTCCATATTTTCTTTTTCTATTTTTTCATTTCTTTCTTCCCCTTCCCGCTCCTTTTTATGAATCTCCTAACTGGAAGGTTAGGTTCTCCGAACACCTTAGAATTAAAAATCTTAAGGTGTTTGCAATAGTCATCGGTCGTTCTTGATGATGATGTTTGTCACGTGGCTTTTCATGATTTCTTGCTTTTGATCATCATTATCATCATCAACATTATCATCATCATTCATTTATTAATTATCATTATCATCATAGTATCTGGTCAAAATCTCATGAAAAAACGAGGGGATGACTGCTGCGAAGCTGGAGGAGAGACGTTGCAGTGGCGATAAGTGGTAATAAGACGGTGGCAACTGTGATGATAATGGTGGTGGTGGTGGTGGTGGTGGCGATGGCGATGGTGGTAGCGACAGTGGTTTTGTTAATTTAATAATGGTGTTTCATTGGTAGTGGTGGTGGTGGTATTGGTGTTAGTAGTGGAGGCAGCAGCAGCGACAGAGATCGTAACAGCAGCGACGGTAATAATTTTTTCATTTTTTCACAAATCCGTCTTGAAAACCGTTCAGACGCCCGTCAATGAATTCTCTGTAAAATGTGGACAGTCAAATTAAGGAGCCAACATTTTGGAGAGCTCTTCGTCTTGAAGGCAACCCTTAAGGAATTCTTCTTGCGTCAATTGCCCGTCGTGATTCTCGTCCATTTTAGCGAATATATTCTTAGTCCGTTCTTCAGCGCTGTCCGCTGGCCTGTTGCTCGAACATGCTCCGAGCATATCATATATTGCCTGAAACACATAGCGCATCGATATTTTTCTAGGAAATATGGGCCAACATTAAGAAAACATATCTCGAAGCTGAATTAATCCTCAAAGGGATAAATTCCTTACTTGAACGATCTTAGTCATTTCTTGAATATCAATAACACCATTTCCATCAACGTCATACATCCGGAATGCCCACTTTAGCTTTTCTTCCGGTGTACCACAGGAAGTAACGTCTATGGCTAAGAGAAATTCCTGGAACGAAAAACGAAGAGATAGGCTTTCAATCCTGACGTTTCATTTTTTATGACGATCGTTTTTCAGTAAAATACTTTTCTGACTTTTCACTTCGAAGAAATTTGTTCTCTCAAATGATGGAAGCCATAATATTCGGATGTCAGAGCGAAGATCGTGCTTTATATCGCCGATCATGTCAAGAGAGATAGAGATAGATAGATACATAGATAGATAGATAGGTAGATAGATAGATAGATAGATAGATGGATAGAGAGAGAGAGAGAGAGAGAGAGAGAAAGAGAGAAAGAGAGAAGAAGAAAAAGAGAACACTGAAAGGGTCGAATGTTCGCGTGAATATCGAGGTGAAGCGGAAAGGTACGGTGGGACACGGGGTTTGGAGAGATTGCCCGTTTTGGGACATGGTATAAGTACAGTATATAAGTAAAAGTGGGTCAGCTAACGCTCGAAGGTAGATAGACAACGATGAGAAGGGCTTTGTAGGTAGTGTAAGACGAAGGATAGCGATAGAAAGGTATAAGGGGGAGGGAGTGGCTTCGCTCTTTGCTCTTCCTGACCTTCGAAGTGTCTCCACTTCTCATATTAACCCAGCAGACACGTCGACTCCTATAGTCACCCTTCCTCCACACATCACTGATTTCGGTCTTACATTGGGGACACGCTCCTTTTATAAAAGTCGCAAAAAAGTCGTCGAAAAGTACCGGCTTAAAGAAAGAAAGAAAAAGAGAAAGAGAGGAGGAGGGAGAAAAAGAGAAAGCTGGTAAGAGAGATCTAGATTGCCTAACCGAAAATTACAGAGGGTGAGTGAGCATTTTCCGCGACTTTTTGTCTCGGAGCATTGACGTCGTCTCCCTTTCTCTGTGTGACCGAAATTCAGACAGCAAAAGGCTCACAACAATACATATGTAATGTGTACATACACGAAATCACCTTTTTCGTATTTTCCCACAAACGAATCTTTGATCACTGATTTCGCTTAAGCAGGCATAAGTTGTTATATCTTCTACTCAAAGAAAATCCGTTTGATTGGATTACGTACGAATGCTTGATTGTTCTTTGGTGAACTTTAACATCTTGTTCAATGATCATTTTTAGATCATATTTGTTGATAAATACTACGTAAATAATGTAATATATTATTTTTGTTAAGAAACAAATATACCTTATTATTCAATTGATAACTGAGATTTAATAACAACTTCAACATACGAAATGAAATACATTAAAAAAAATAAATAAATAAATAATAATAATAAATGGTCGATTTACACATAGACGAACAAGGATCCTATTATAATAGTTCTATAACGACGTGAATCTATGGTATATATTATCTTGCCTATGTACCGTATAATAAAAGACGCACGCACACGCGTTCGAGTAAATGAAATTATCGACGTTCCCGTCAATATAAAAATATCCCTTACCTTAAAGTCGATATAACCGTTTTTATCCATGTCGAATGTGCGGAATACATGATCGCAAAATTCTTCCGCATGGCCAGACGGAAAGAATGTTTTATACATGTCAACAAATTTTGCGGGCGTTAATCTGCCATTAGGGCAGTCTTGCTGTAACCAAAAAAAAAGAAAAAAATATAATTAAAAACAAAAAAAAGAAAAAAAGAAAACGAAAAAAAAATCAATTCAAATGAAATTTGTATAATATAGAGGATAGATTCATTACTTTTTTCTTTTTGTATACAGAAATAATATGAACAAAGATCAACACCGTAATGTACTTACTTTGAATCCCTTGTACCATTCCTTGATTGTGCTTTCGTCATATCGCGTGCGTGACTTGAGAAACTCCATATCCTCTTTACTCAATTTATCCTTGCTCCCAAAACAACCCATTTTGTAATCTGGAAGAAAACAGAAACGTTCCATTTTAAATGTTTCCTATATAATTAAAGTCTTCCGATAATGAAAATATTCAAGCTTTCGATAAAGTTTTGCGTTGAATTGTTATTGAACGCTACCCACTGTAAAGAATAATTATTACAATAGATAATTATAAATTAATTAACGAGTTAACAATACCGTAACGATTTTCATCTACTTTTATGATCTAATTTTACGATCTAATTATTTTTTTCAAATCTATACTCTTCAAGCAGTAGAAATAATATGATATAAATGAGGAAAAGAAAAAAGGAAAAAAAAGAGAATTTCGTTGAAATAAAACAAAGCAAAACAAAACAAAAATTAATAATTTTAGGGCTTCTCATATTAAGAGTTCCCGTTTTATTTATGCGACGAACGTGAAAGCCAATGTCGCAAAGAAGAAACGTACGTAAGTACATACATACGTTATATTCGACAGGAAATTACGAAGACTCGTGTGCTTCGCATAATAATAAAAGGTACATAAGAGGAAGGTAATGTCGTAATAAAGAATCTAGTATACGCCGATAAACTTAAGAAAAGCTATGCGACGAATGTTAAAAAAGGAGAAGGAAAGAGAATGAGGAGTCGATAGGGGGTAAAGAGGAAAAGAAGAAAAAGAAAGGGATGATGAATCAAGTAACCTTAATAGGGAAGAATTAAATATGAAAATACTAATATAACCACATTGTATTAGATTATAATATTCGAAAATTACTTCGAAAATTACTATTAAATTACTGTTACGCATTCAAAAAAGAAAAAAAGAAAAAAAGAAAAAGAAGAAAATAAAAGAAAATAAAAAAAAGAAGAAGTTAAAAGTCATAATGCCTAATTTTTTGATCTTTCCAAAATTGTCACTCGAGAACTAGGTTTTCTTGGCATAAGTGCAATCCACTTTCTGCTTCTTGACTCTATCACAAACGTTGAAAATGTTCTCTTAATTATCTTCTTCATTCTTTTCTTTTTCTCATTAATTTTATTATTTGAATTCCTTTTAATATGTTGTAAAAAATACAATTTTCGAAAGAATGTCCCGTATACGTTCGTTATCGTATAAAAATTGCAAAGTTATTTTAAAGAAAAATAGAGATAGATGGATAGGCCGATAGATAGATACAGAGAGAGAGAGAGAGAGAGAGAGAGAGAGAGAGAGAGAGAGAGAGAGAGAGAGAGAGAGAGAGAGAGAGAGAATATTTAACTATAAAGAAAGAGCTACTCGTTTATCGGCGATTTTCTATTAAAATAAAAGAGCAAAGGGAAGAGCGCAGGGTTCAGGAGAAGATAGAGGTGGAGGAAGGGGAGGAAAAGTCGAAGGAGAAGGAAGAAAAGGAAACGAAAAGAGAGAGAGAGGGAGAGAGAGAGAGAGAGAGAAGGGGAAAAAGGATGAAAAGGAGGAGAGGTAAGGAGAGTAGAGGAAACTACGTATACGAGAAGAGATGGTGGTGCGCGATCTGCATTGGCCCCGCGCACGCAGAGACGCGCAGAGGCCTGGGAACCGCAATCAATATAGCTACAGTTACTCCCACACGTATATTTGTACACGAGTGGAGTAAAAATTTTTAAAAAAGAATATATATATATATATATATATATATATATAAATGGAATAAAAAAATGTTATATTTTTCTTTGAATGACCCCGACCAGCTGATAACAGTCAATATTGTGTACGTAAACGTCTCATAACACGAGATTTACGTATTCCTTTTTGCACAACAGATCTAAACGACAAAATCTACAAATCCTATGAGAATCCAGGGAATAATATCTATATATCTATATAGGCATAAATATGTATATATGTATATGTATGTTTGTGCGTGTGTAATATATGTATGTATATTTCGAAAACATTATCGTGAGGATTCGACGGATAATCCCCGATTATATAAATCCTCTGAACTGTACATTATCCGATTGAGATATACGAGAGCAGGTTTAACTATACATATAGGATGAATTATATGACACTTAACATCCTCTGTTTGTTAACAATTTGTATTCATGAAATATATCAATAAAACATTAATATTTGAACTCATTGAATATCTCGTGAAAAATCAGGATCGAGGGGAGGGAAAATAAAAAAAAAAAAAAAAAAAAAAAAAAAAAAAAAAAGAACAAAAAAAACAAAAAAAAAACAAAAAAAAAAGAGAGAAAAGAAAAGAAAAGAAGAAGAAAAAAAGTGATCAAATGCATCAAAGAACGTTAAGTGAAACTAGAAAGCGTAAGTTACAAAAGAAATCGTCGTATTGAAGTCGAACCAATGACATCGAAGGTGAAACAAAACGGGTTGTACTGTTATGGCAAGATACGTATTACCCAATTAGAAACTTGTCTCGTTTGTGGCCATTATTCCGACTATGCACGTTCGCTCTCTTGTTGGAAACATTTACGAGTGTTACTACAAGTTCTCCCAATTTCTCTCTCTCACTCTCTATCTCTCCCACTAATTCTTTATTCCACATGGAATAACATAAAAATATTGTAGTCGTTTCAATAGAATTATCAAAAGAATAAGGAACAAACGAGATAGGATTGATATTATATGTCGCTCAATTTGTGTGTTGAATGAAAAATGACGTTGGCTGTGAGCCATCGAATGCGTGTTTTCTTTTTTTTTATCTTTTTCCTCCTGTTTTCCTTTTTTTCTTTTCTTTTTTTTTTCTTTTTATTTGGTTTGAAATATCCCCCGAGAAAACACCACGCACAACTTCTTTACACAACGATGAGTCGACTCGACTCATCATTTGCCGAAATGATTACACATCCGTGAAACACACTCGTTTTTATTTACATATGCTACGACGATATCGTACAATGAGTACACGTGTATCCGGAATGCACAGGAAAAGGTTGCTCCAAATATCTCTTTTTTTTCCTCTCGTTTTTCTTTTGGATCGATTTCGTCGACCGTATCTTCTTTCATCTTTCCCGTCGCGTTTTTAATATCGACCTTATTAGAGAAAGCTCGTATATACGAGAGAAAAATAGAGAGAGAGAGAGAGAGAGAGAAATAAAGAGATAAAGAAAACGAGAGAGAGAGAAATAAAGAGATAAAGAAAACGAGAGAAAGAGAGAGAGAGAGAGAGGGGGTGAGATGGCTTAGAAAACATAATTCCTCATTTATCCTTTACACTTTACTGCTTCTGAAAAAAAAAAAAGAAAAAAAGAAAAAACCATCCGACGAATCGCATAAAAGCATATTGGCTGATACTAAAAAGAATGATACAGAAAAGGAAAGGCAAAGAAAGAAAATAGAAGAAAAAAAAAAAAAAAATAAAATAAAAAAAAAAGATATGAGAGGGGATCTTTAGAGATACAGCTTCAGGCATACACGTATATACATATACATAAACGCATATGCCAACGTCGGTGCAGATTTAATGACTGGATTATCTGATAATGCACGTGCATGCTCGAGGCGGCCATTACGAACGTTACATGAAGTAAATCATTTTTATAATTCCTGTTTCTTTCTTGTTTTTTTTATTTTCTGTAAAAAAAAAAGGAAGAAGATAAAATATTGTTTTTATAAAAAAAAAATAAAAAAAAAAAAAGAATAAAAACTTATTTTTATCTTTTAATAATGTTAACGCGAAGAACGAAACTGAAAACGAATCGTTCCTACGTTCCTGAATTCGTTCTTTCGATTTATCAACGATGAGAATAGAAAGGCTAGACATTAAAATTGCAAATTTCACGTCTATCATTAAGAAGATCTAAAAACGAGGTCGGATCAAGGATTCAATGTTGCGCCAGATTCAATCGTACTTTTACTTGATCCGGCTTCAATTACTAGAATATTTTATCGACGTCTAGAGAAAAAATGACTTGTAAAGATGTACATATGTACACACAAACATACAAAAGATGGCTCATAAGTCAGTCAACGAAAATGCGTTATTATTGTAAACGGGTTAAATTCGCAAAAGTTAAGTCATATCAGATAAAATTTAATACCAAAAGAATACAACAATATGTTACTAATCTACATTAGATACAGAAAGTGACCATCCTCATTTTCAATGAAAAAAAAATGAGATCTATTAAATGTTATTCGTATCGCTTAACGTTTGTAAATTAAATTTGTTTACAATAACAATGTATTTTTGTCAATCGATTTATGGGTCCTTCTATATATAGAAGAAATAGAAGAGAGATGATAGTGATCTAGTACGATCGAACGATCAGAGTAAATGTTTGATCGTTCTTATTTTCCACTTTCGTATTGTGGCATTTAATTATCGTGCATATTTTTACAATCATTTAGATTCCTTTAGCTTTGACGAGTTGTTTAGTATACGTAATAAAAGATAAGATTTTTTACCAATGATATTAGCTTTTCCTTATTTCGTTTTACGTAAGAAAAAGAAAATTGGTATCGTATTCATAAAATAGACAACAGCGAGGAAAATTCAAAAACAATTTATGTATGTCGTGAATAGCGTCGAAAATTTCTTACCCCGGTAAGAAAATTTATGCGCCTATAAATCATTTCCTAGATGCCAAGAAAGAGGATATTTTTGTTGAAGAAGAAGAAGGAGAATGAGAAAATAATAAAACAAGAAAGAGAAGAGTTGAGATGTATGATATTGGCACGTAGGTGCGATTTGTCAAAATGTCTAAAACCAAATAGACAATGTTATTCGCGTGCGATGTGTATTATGCGAAAGGTTAAAAATTGATTAAATTCATTAATTGGATTTTTAATCGGAAAAATCACAAAAGATTATACATAATTTTAATCACTTCCGTTTGTATTTCATCATCTCGTTTGATCTCATTAAACGATTAATACCATTTCTTTCTTGTGTTCTATTTTTAAAATGGAAGGAATTAATAATACGAATACAAAAGTCATTACTGTAATTAATCTTTGATCATTAAACAATGTATTAATACACGAGAAAGTACGTACTTTTAACTTTGAAGAGCGTGACACACTGTCACATCTTTTAATTTACACACATCG